GGGAGGAGAGGAGGGGGAGGGGGGGGAGAGGAGGGGGGGGGGAGGAGGGGGAGGGGGGGAACCTACATTAACGTCTTCAAAAAGTGAGATGGAGTGTTGGACTCCACAACCCCAGGGATATGGAAGTTGAAATTTGCTGGAGCGATTCTGTGTTGAGAGAGGGAGAAGCATGCCTTATTTCGTTCCTGTCGATGCTCTCAGAGAAGAACATGAGGAGATTGAATTTTGTCACGGAAAGGGATTAAAGAAAGGTTATAGGTAGGGCTGGGCGATATGGATTTTTTAAGTATCGATATCGCCGGCCTATATATCGCCCGATATCGCGATATCGCCAGGGTTCAATCGGGGAGGGGGGGGGTATTAATGCGCGTTTATTTCAGGACAAAACCCTTTTATTTTTGTAATGATTCTGACATAATCTTGAATGCATGACATCATTATAGTTTGTTGTTCAAAGCTAAGAGAGAGAACATATCGACCATCCCTGTCGTAAAACATGCACGATGTTCGTTTGCGAAAAATCTTATCTCGGAACGAGTCGCTCACACGGAACGAAAGCTCCGTGAATTCGAATTTGCGAGCCAGGTCGGCAAGCGGCGGGTGTCTCCTTTCCGTTGTGACTCTGGCGTGGCGGTGGATCGGCGATTCGCCGCTTTATTAATGTGAGATCCGAACGGAATTACTGTCGTTGATTTGTTTGACGTCCTGTTGGAGACCGTGATGGACTCGATGGTAGATTGTCAGATTCGAAATGCAACCGTGAGTGAGTGGTTTTCAAGGATTTCCGTTTTTCTTTGAAGGAAAGGTCAAAGAACTGGGCTTCCACTTCGTTCCAAACAGAAGTTGCAAAGAATGATGGAGTGGTCTTCTTAGCGGCGAGACGCGATTATCGCAGCAATCAAATTGAGATCGCTTGCGTGCAAGTTGCGAGAGATTGGTCGTATCCCCAGAAACTGGAATTTTTCTGACTTTCGGGGCAGCTACCTTCGCATATTCCGGATGGGTATTGCATTCGTTGCGAGGAGAAATTCTAAACGCATTCCGCATTACAGAATTTCCATGAGCTGTATGACTTTCCAGTTCTATTCCATCCACAAAAATTTGCCGTGGTTTCATCGTTCTCAGGGGCTGACGGAATCCAAGTGCCGATTTCCATCATTTCGCCTCAAGTAAATTTTCCAGGAAAAGAAAGCAACGAGGAGGATTGCAGACCTTAGATTATGCACTAACTCCCCCTCTCATCAGTTTTTGTCAAGGCCGACAGTCAATCCTTGCATTGTCCTATGCCGTTATGTTAATGGAGCGGTTTGTGTGTTGTTTCCCCTCTCCCGCGATAATAGGGGAGTAAAAAAAATTATTATTTCCAAAATTTAAATATCGCGATATGCAAACATATCGCCGATAAGACAAACATCGAACGATATCGCGATAATCGGCCCAGCCCTAGTTATAGGCCCTAACAAAGCCTATTGATTTTTCACGGAGACACTCGGCAATTAAACCTGGAACACGGGCATGAACCCAAAAAGTTTCGAAATTCCAGCCGCCATCTCTACGAAAAATTCGAGTCTGCAACGGGTTTGTTTCGCTTTCTTCAGCCATTCTCTGCCAAATCTGAATTCCGTGCAAAACGGGAATCGAAGCCGGTGCGACTTGATCCGACTTCGTAACTTTTCCGTCCCCTCTTGGCTTTCGGCCCATTTCACGGATTGATGTCGCCCGTTGAAATCCCGTCAGATGAATAGTTTTCGGCCGTCTCGTCGACGAGAGAATCGAACCCGAAAATGTTTCGGAAGAAGCCGTACATGCACGGCGTCAGTCCCTTCTCGCTTGACGATTTACCGTAACTGTGAGTCACCGTCATTTTCAGGTTCTTGGGTGTCCCAAAAGATGCAAGGGAAAACGAACGAAAGGATTTATTTCATCTCACTCCGATTAATGCATTCCAAAGGGACTTCCTCAATTAAAATAAAATTGTTTTAATTTAAAAAAATTATTATTTTCGACTCTTGTATTTTATGAGTGTTTTTTCTTCCTACCAGTTTAGTCGGACGGTTCCGAAAATAGAAGCAAAAGAGGCCTGTTAGGCGTAGAAATATGCGTAGTGAGGCATAGACACGGTACTCAGAAAAAGGGAAGATCTTATCGAGGAGAATGTCAGACAAGCTAATCGGAACCAGTGCAAGAAGTCCGAGCCTCTCGAGAGCGATTTCGTGGAACCGTCTATCGCACATGCCCACCCGCTCGCTCTGGGACTTGCGCCTGAATGGAAGGTGAACTTCCGCCGAGCGACTGCCACCGTCATTTCTTCCTTGGAAGCCATGACATGTGTCCGTTCGGGAAATTCAAGCTTCGACTCGGCATTCACCGGAAGGTTCATGACGGATGGAGAGAGAAAAAAAAGGCGTTGGAACCTCTGCCTCCAACCCCCGTTTCCACTCCCATCTCGACCCCCGTCGATCCCCGTTTATCCCTCACCGTGAGGCAAAAAATGTCCATCATGAAGTCGTGGGAAGGCATCTCTCGGGACATGACACCCTTCGGGATCTCCATGCTAAGAAAGTAAGTCCCCCCCTGATGTCTCTTCGGACTTGTTTCCGTTCCGTTTTAGCGAATATATCGAGGAGTATTCCAAGGAAAAATGTTAGTACTCATGCAACCCACAAGTCGAAATATTTGTAGCACCCTGGCTCGAAGAGAATGCAAAGAAGGTCTCCTGGGTATGAGGTCGTTATTCCATAAGAATCTCTTTCGGTGGTTTCTGCATGGAGGCCCAATAGCAAAGTATGAATCTGACATCAATTGTCACTGTTGATGGCCAAGTTGAGGGGAAAATACTCAACGCATCTGCAACCAGGATATAAAGCTCCCAGCCAGCTCGGCAGGCACTCTTGTATATTTTTCCGAAAGTGGCTACATCTAGAGCCTGGAAGGATGTGATGTATTAGACAAACCCACTTTTTGCCTAACGGAGCAACTGAAATCCGAGCTAGATTGGATTTCCTCGATGTTGGAAGATTTTATAAATGACTTTTCTTAATCAGCTTTTGCTGTTCATGGCAGTGAAAGCATCGAGTCACTGCGAGTAAACCACCCAGATTCCCTCAGAATGTGATGCATGGAATTATTCTCCCATTTTATCCGCGGGATCGTCTTCCCCCACCGAGAGGGAGCGACGTAAACAACGAAAGTTCTGATTCGATTACGCCCAGCAGAACATCACCCTGAGGCCGAGACGTGAGACCGATCCCGAGCACGCCTGCACGTGGCCGCGCTGAGCTCCCATGCCTCCAGTCTCAGTTTTAGTTCGAATGCCAAGCACCTCTTCAGTTGTCCTTATAGTTCATATCAACATGCAAGGGGACGTATTATCAATTTATCGGCTAGGCCTTCAAGGAATTACTTTGCATGGCTTCAAAAACAATTAAAATGGTGAAATATTACGAATTTTTCTAATTAATTAATTAAATTTTAACTTAATTCGGAATTCATCCAAGAGTATCACTTTTTGGCAAAACTTTTTCCTTGACGAGTTGTAGGAACTGGAGGAAAACAGCGGTGATGATGGCTGAATGTGCAAGGTTACACATTTCTATAAATAAATGTCTCAAGCTTTCAACTTCTTACCAGCAGACTTGGTGAGCCAAGAAGAGATCACGCCAAAAAGTGGCGCTCTTGGATAATATCCGTACTAATCACGTTTCATTATGATACTTGCACGAAGACAACTGTGGAAATTATTTTCAAATGTCATATTTGGCAGTGTTGCTTGATTTCAAAATAATGTGATCATTTTTGAAGAACGGGCCAATAAATAAACAAAGCTTCCACAAACGCGTTGATGAGCAATATAAGGATATGTGAAGAGGCACTTAGAATATTGGATAAAACTGAACCAGAGGCATGGGAGCACATGCACAGAGACGCATTCAATTGGACTGATCCCTCATCTTTACGGCGACATTTTATCTCGGCGTAATTGAACCAGAACGTTCCTAATCTACATAAAATACTTCAGGTAGATGAAAATGCACCTGTAAACAAAAAAAATGTATTGCACTCAGTGTTTTTTTCATGATGTCTCCCGGAATTAATGAACCCTTAGCGAGTTCCCCATCGAGCTGCAACGAAGTTATGTGCAGAGAACTGGGCTCTGGGAATAAATCCCTTCTCGTGTCTGCATCAGACCTGTCCTCAAATTCCAGGAAACCCAATGCATTAAGAGAAGATTCCTTCCGATTTTTATAAACTCTCCAAGGAAGGAAACCACTCCTGACAGTATGAGATCGCTCGCTGCAGGTGGGAGGATCAAGGAAAGAGCAGACGGGCGTCATTCTATACAAAGGCATTAGGAATGGAACATCCAGGGATTGGAAAGGGAGTAGAAACAATTCGGCATCGGCTAGAACGACTAGCAAATTTATTATGGAAGTCAATTTTTTTTAAGCATATCTCATTCCCCGAAAAAGACCATTGTCCTGTCCCCTCCTTCTGTGCGTTTGTCTGTTTCCCCTTCTCGTCGTCCGACGAAAATCAAGGAAGGAGCGACAAATCTCTTTCGAACAATTGCATAAAATGACGCTTCTCATTTCGCCATGAGCCCGATTGTGGACGTGAAATACCCAATCTTATGTAGACAGACGATCGCGACTGACTGACGCCAATTCTAACCATGTTCTAGATGTGATGGAAGGATGAAACTTGGTACGTAAGTACCTTTGGGATACTGATTATTTTTTTTAGGTAAAACCCCTGAGGGCACATATTTCGTGAGAGGCGCATTTTCCAGGATCTTTTTCGATCCAACAAAGCAGAGAGCTGAAAAGAGAGGAGGCTGAAACTTAGCTCAGAAGTACCCGTTCGATTGCCGAGTGCATGAAAAAAATCACACTTTGGAAATGTATCTCCTCAAGGCAAGTTATGGGAAGGAAGTATTTCAAGATTTATTTTCCGCTCTGACAAAAAAGGGACACAAAGAGATTTGAAGTTAATTAAGCACCCAAGAAATTATCGCAGTAATGATTTCGATGATAAAAAGTCTCGATAACGTCCCTTCATGGCACATATTTCGACAAGGACGTGGTTTGGATAAGTTTTTGCCACTTTGAAAATTAATTAATGAATTAGTTACTATCTTTGGTAATGGAGCGCCGTAGGCACGACCATAGCAAACAAACTCGCTAGTATGAGATAAATATGATCAAAATCGATTCATATTACGAATTCATGGAATGTAATTTCGTAAATCTATCTAGGAAGAATGCAAAATTCATTATTGCAATAACGATCCTGATTGCACGAACCTCCACAATCGCGTTTCTACCGTCTCTACTGTCCAACTAAAAAAAAACGACGTGAGGAGTCTCGCTGTGGAAGCCATGGAGCGTGGACCTGTCTGCTCCATGTCTGTTTGAGTGGTGCTATAGTGGGCCTGGGCCTAAATCTGTTTCATGCCCAACCGAAAAAGGAAGGAAAGGCAACTGTCNGATCGGATGGTTTTACACCAGAGTTTTATAAACATTTTTGGCATTGTTTAGGAGGTTTTGTTGTAAGATACCTAAATTTTTGCAACAAACGGGGTTGGTTCTCAGCATCACAAAGGGAAGGTGTAATTTCTATAATACCAAAAAATGACAAGCCGAGAGAATTTATCTCCAATTGGAGACCTATTACTTTGCTCAATACTGTATACAAACTTTGCTCTTCGTGCATAGCGAACAGGTTGAGAAAGGTTTTACCAAAGTTAATCCATCCAGATCAGAAAGGTTTTATGGAGGGTCGAGAAATGTTCGACTGTGTAAGGAACGTATATGATCTGATGCACATCTTGACGGACCAGAGTATTCCAGGCATGTTACTGCTGATAGACTACGAAAAAGCCTTCGACTCCGTCGCCCATTCATTTCTATTTAAAGTGTTGGAATTCTTTAATTTCGGTCCTGGTACGGTTCAATGGATAAGAACCTTGTATCACAACGCTTCCTCATCAGTGTTTCAGAATGAAATGATGTCAGGATCTTTCCCAGTTGAGCGTGGCTGTAGACAGGGCGATCCTATTTCACCTTATTTGTTTCTGCTCTGTGCTGAAATTTTCGCGTGCATTATCAGACAAAATCCAGTTATCTCTCCTATTTCCTTAAAAGGGCTTCACTCCCCAAAGGTGGAACTCTACGCCGATGATACGACAATTTTATTTGATGGCGACGACCAAGGCCTAAGAGAAATTCTGAACTGCCTCGATGTATTTGAAAGAATCTCAGGCCTAAAATGTAACTTAGGGAAAACCAAGGCTGTAGTCATTGGGAAGGTGGATGGACAGATCTATAATACACTGGTGGAAAGAAACGTGGAAACGGTGTCGCAATTTCGATTCCTAGGATTTATGTTTTCCACTGACCCCACAGAAATTATGAACTTGAATTGGGAACCGAGACTTTCGGATATTAACGCATCGTTGATGTCCTGGAAAAATTTTAAGCTCTCCCCTTTTGGCAGATTATGTGTTATAAGAAATTTTGTCATTCCTAAAATAACCCATCTGCTTGCATGTATCCCCAATCCACCTTCTGAAAAGATAAAGTACCTGGAGAAGCTACTTCTCTCTTACTTATGGGACTGGAAAAGACACTGGATCAATAAGGATAGTGTATATTACCCATTAGAAATGGGAGGTCTCAATATGTTGAATTTGACGGCGTTCATGAAAGCACTAAAACTGGCTTGGTTGAGGAGATTACTTATTAAATCGACTTTCTGGACCAACCTATTTCATAATAATTGGCAGCGATCTCTTTCTTTGGATATCTTTCAAATTGGCAACGCATTTTCTCTGCCTCGCTACTTTAATGACTTTTGGCAAGATGTGATAAATGCCTGGAAATTTTTTAACGAAACGTTAATGGATCGCACTGGAGGAGTTTTCCCCCTCTGGTATAATAATAAGATAAGGTTAGCGGGTAAATTTCTTAATTATAAAAAGTGGGCCCAAAAGGGAGTATTTTTTACCTCCGACCTGTTGTCAGAGAGCGGCGATTTATTGTCACTCTCTCAATTTCAAAGTAAATTCAACTTGCAAGCTGTGAACTTCCTTGATTACGAGTGCCTCTTGAGAGTCTTAAAAAAAAACCTTACATTAGGGGGCTCTCCAGAGACTTCTCCTTCAAGACCCACAGCAGTGGAATACTTGTTGAAAGACAAGAAGGGGAGCTCTAGATTTTACCACCTCTTTCGAAAGAAAGGAGACCTTACTACCCTCACAGAAAGATGGAATGTTAAGTATTCCTTCGGTATGACGGAACAGAAACTATCTACAGCCTTCTCTATAGCAAATTATTTTACAAGGGATAACAAAATTAAATGGTTACAAATTCGTATATTAAGAGGCGTCTTACCGACAAACGAAACATTATTCTATATGGACGTCCACCAGTCCTATGCCTGCAGCTTTGGTTGCGAAAATGTCGAAGATGTAGTGCATCTTTTTTGGGCTTGTCCTGTGGTGCAGGGGTTTTGGAAACAATTAGGCAATAGAGTTGCTGCCGTCTCCGGTATTGAGATTAAATTCACTTTATATTGTGTGTTATTTGGTTTCTTGAAGTCAAAATATTATGTGTTGAATGCTCTCATGTTGTATGCGAAACATTTTATATATTGTCAAAAATTTAAAGGGAGCAGTTTGAATGTGGAGAGTTTCCAGTGTTATTTGAAATTTAGGTCCCATCTTTGCTTTCGGTTTGTCATGCAGAATACATTTGAAAAAAAAAAAAAGTGAGATTCCGTCAAAGCATTAAAAAGGAAGAGTGATGACGTGGGACCGACGGGGTCACATTTCATTTTTCGACGGAAAAACGGGCACCCCCGCCCCATTCGTCATTCATCCGGCGACGAAAACCCTAACTTGCTCAAAGTCGATTCGGTCCGCTCTCGAAAGTCCATCTCCTTCTACCTGAACAAAGTGGTTGCTTGCAAGGGTTGCAATGAGTTAAGCCCATAATAACGATTAATGAATTGAATCGGCAAGCATGTCACCCTCTTACGCATTTACGTTGCCAACTATGGCGTCTCACAGAGAGAAGGGGGGGGGTGGGGGTCATCGCAATGCTTCTGGCAAGGCTGCAGGCATACGACAACGCGACGCCCGATTCTCTTCTCTGGGACTTGCAGACACTCGTGAGTCGGCTCTTTACCGCTCTTTCAATGTTGCTTGATGGGTCGACAATTTTCCTCATTCAGCCTCAGTCCATTCCTATGTCAGCGAAGGGCAACGGCCACGCCCCCAAAGGCCCCAAAACGAAACCGCGCATGCGCACAAGTCCTCTGTTGGTCTTTAAGCGGCGAAACTCGAACGCGCGGACGTGAATTAGACTCGACCTTGTGGCGAGTGCTGCCTAACTTCGAGTGTTCGTGTTTTCTCGTTTTACACTTTCCTTTGTATGATATAAGATTTTGTAAGATATGGAAAACCTGAGGCAGTGGTTATGAGTCAATTTCAGGCAATATTCAGCATGTGTTAGTAAATTCAAACATAAGCATATTAATTCTTGATATATTCCGTCCTGTTTTAGAGAGTACAGCCCCATATGTAAAGTCACAAAGAACGAAGTCAAACTACTTAAAATCAAGTTCGACCACATCGAGGACAGCATTCTCGGTCATAGCAGCAAACACCTCCCTCGACTAAATGATCAAAAGGGGAATAATTAAACTCTTCACTCATACGCCAAGGACCAAGCCAGAAAGAGGCCGAAGGGATGGAAAGCACACCGTGCTCTGGAGGGGGAAAATGTGCGGAAACAAAACTTTTAATCAAGTACATCACTTGCAGGCCGCGCAGGATTGCATTAAAAACAGAAAGAAGTTTCACAAATAGGACAGGCGAGAGAGTTGGAGCGCTCAAAGAACTCTTTTCAAAGAACTCTTTCCTCCACTGACGCACAAAGGATGAAATTCCTAGATTGGGAAGAGATCTTCATCGCATTCGATTCCTCCGATTTATACACCGGCTCATGTGAGTTTCGCATATCATTTTCGCAGACTCTTCGTAGACCACTGCGAACTCTTGAACCAGTACGAGAAATTCCAAGGATTGGAAGCCCAAGACGAGCAGGCGGAGAGGATGGAACTGGCGGACCACGCCAGGAACGCCATCGCCACTCTGGACAACGGGATCAAGTCCTTAGACGATCTGGACGTGTTCTTCCAGTACCTTCATGCGGTCGGGGAGACTCACGCACGGATACCGGGATTCGAGAAGGAAAACTTCCTGGTACGTCCCGATATCTCCCCAATCTTTCCTTCAGAGTCGGCTTTACATGAATCGGTATGCCGTTCCCTCGTCCAGAAAATCAAAGGACCGTTCCTGCGTGCGGTGCGAGAGACGCTGCAGGAGCGATACACCCCGAACATAGAAGCCATCTACAGAGTCACCATCGATTTCCTCATCGAGACTCTCGTCGATGGATACGAGAATGGTCTCAAACGTCAACAGGGCGATTTCAATTCTACCGTTGATTGAGAGGGACCTACGAGTGTAACTTCTAAATGGGACAGACGAACAAAACGACAGATTGGATACGGCTTCTCCTGAAATGGAATTTCTTCTTTCATGGAGGGTAAAGAAAATTAGAAGTTGTGATGACGTTATCCCATGTCTCAATTTTCTGGGTTAGGGGTGGGGCAGGGCGGGGCGGGGCGTAGGTGGGATGAATGGGGGATTGCGTCTTGGCGGATGAAAGCAGACAGTGAGACCGTTTCCGAAGCAGACGAGCATCTATCTTGTCACTTAACCACTTTGGCACTTAGGCGCTGAGTTCTCTGTGGCAAAATTTCCCTTTCATTGTATTATTCAAGAGGCACGGAACATTCTCCGACGAAAAGGCATACCCCTGCGCCAAGTTTCAAATCTTAATCATATCTTTGGGCCGACCCACACAACATTTGCATACAAATTGCTGAAAGCTTCCTTCCCGTTTTTCCTCTAAGCCTCTAAGCAAAATGAAGTAACAGATCTAGAGAGACAGTGAAAACGACAAAATCACCAGCGAATTTCTGCTCCTTTGTGTCTGATTTGTTCCTGAACGATCAAGACGACGGTTTATGCGACAGAGAACGGAATAGCGAGGTGAGAGAAAAAAACCTTTATTACAAAACATTTTACTCGCTTTTTTTCCTTCCCAATCGTCGCCATATTAGTGTGGTTTTCGCTTCGATTTCAGAAGATGTGAGAGCAGTAATTGCCATTCGATGTGTTCCCACTCTTCTTCGGGTTTTTGGTGTGAGTATATGTTTAAATATATGGCACTTTACTTGTGGATATGATTCAAATGAACAATAAAATTCTATGTTTCGCTGGTCATGTTTAAAATTCCTTTCGATAATCAAGTCAGGACAGGAAGAGCTGGGCGGAACTGACATTCGCCGTTTTTAAAAGCCTAATCACTCGACAGCGAATCCAAGCAGTATTCATCGGAATATCGTCTCCGTGTGGAATGGTAGAAAAAGCATTTCCGAGGTTACCACTTTTGCAAGACGTCCGATGTCCAACACGGCCGATCGTCAAGACAATCCAGATGGCCTTCCACTTAAAATAGACCAGGCGAAATATGAAGATCACCTTCAATAAATTTCTGACATCACTTTACGAGAGATGCTGGAATGCTTCCGTTTAACTTTCTCTGACGATTCAAGCACCGTAGATTTTATTTCTGAACGGCGAAGGGTGAATCCGAGAAATTCCTCCATCGTTCCCATATCCCATTTATCATTGGTTCATCACCTAACATGAAAGGGAAACGCATTCTCCATCCGATATTGACAGTATAATCTCGTTGGAAAGCTGAAATCTCCGTAATTGTAAATCCTAAAGCTGCTTCCACCAGCGATGGTTTCATGCTACCCGTATTTAATATATATGGACTACCGAGTGACTGACGCTAATTCTAACCATGTAGAAATTATGAGAGGCTGAATACACACGAGAATGACGAGAGGCTGAGTACACGAATAGCTATTAATGTCTGACTCCAGAATAGTCCAAACTTTGGAGGTACATGCCCTAGGGGCCTTTGTCGAGGGGACTGATTTCACAGGCCTATATATAACCATCGGACAGACGCTCTGGCCTATATCAATCTTGACCCATTCGCATCCAGGAACTTTTTAGCCTATCTGATGGAGAATCCTACTGCCTCATCCTGAGGTGCGAAGCCTCCTAGCCTCTGCCTTTCTAGATCAAAGGCTAGATGGAAAGGCACTGGTTGATGCGTGTCGGAACGCTTGCGGATACGAATGGGATACATAATTTTTTTTATTTATTTAATAACACTCTGCACGAACGTCCGCACTTGCCAGAGATGAATAGTGACGCATCACTGGAGTCAGTAATGTAGTTCCACCATTTAGACCCTCAGGTGTTGTGCAGTTCCCATCAATAGTTTATTTTAGATTGCAGTTAGAAATGCTATGAATACGCTCTGCCTTCGCTTCATAGCAGAACATATCGTTTTTGAGAGTTTTTTCATGTAATATCTTTGAATTAAAAAAAAGGGAAAGTCGAAAAGAGGAGTGAGAGACTTGGGAGTGCGCACGAAGACACTTCCCCTGATGGCTTTTTTTTCTCCCTCTCGGAACTTATTAGGTTGAAATCGAGTCAAATCGACACACCACCATCACTTCCTCAAAATTTCGACACACACACATCTGGTCCGGAAGAGCCCCTTAGGGCTCCATGATGCTCTTAGAAGAGCCTTAGAAGAAGCTCTTAGAAGGAGACCAAAATATGTCAAAACTCAATTTCGCACTCAAAAAAACAAGAAAAAAGTGTGTCGAAATGACCAGACGAGAACAAAAATTTGTCACTCCGATACAACAAACGTTTTGTGTGCAGAAAAATGATGCTTTAAATGCATTTGTAATTTTCTTTGATCCTATCATAGAACGCCAAAGGCGCTTCCATAGCGAGTTCGTTTGTCCGAAGGGCAAAGAGACTCGCTGGCATGCAATATCTTTTTTTAAGGTAACTCTTATACTCCGAAGTAGTTTGAAGGTAACTCTCAGGTAACTCTCTCAAGGCATACCTGTGATAATGAGACACATCAGAGACGAAAGATCTCAGATTAAAATTATCCTTTAGCGATTGCATGCATGGAAAGGTTCTCAGTAGGGTGCTACATTCCTTTTTGCAAGGGATATTCCCGAAAGGCACAACAACTGGAAATTATACCGCAACTTGAAGCTCATTCAACTCGGCATCGATCTAAGTCCTTATTTTTATTCCGGCAAAACGGTTGATTACAGGTTCATAAGACGGTTAACACAGAAAGAGAAAGGCTCCATCTCCGTTAAAGAATGATGCACCTACATCCCTTGAAATTCGAAACACAGCACCTTCAATTCAATTCGTTAATTCTCATCATGAAAAAGATCAATCAATTTCTACAAAATGAAGCGAGAGACAGATCCATGCAGCAAGGAATGAGCTAAATCTGACTTCTAATTTTCTAAGCACTTTGCCATCTCGTTTGTCAGGGACCTGGTTGCAAAAGGTTCTGTAACATCCTCAGATCCAAATCCACTAAACTCGACACAGCTGAATCGCTTTTTCATGTGATGATCGGTTTCCTATTCGAGGCGGTTTTCATGATCTCGAGGGAGGTTGCATCCACGATGGAAGGCCACCTCCACTCCCCTTTCCTCCTAATGAAGAGAATCGGCGGAGTGCAGGTGGATGTCTCCGTAGTTTCCGCTGCAAGCGAATCGTTAGAGAGAGACAATCGGGGTTTTCAGCGATGGTGATTGCTCTCGACGCATCCCTTTTACCTCTACTCAGGTTCCTTCATTATATATATATATATTTTGCAGAGTTCTTTCCTCTTTCTTTCACCCACGGAAGGAAGAAGATTTCAAGGGCGGATTTCGTTTTTTTTTTTTGCAGAACCGATTCGCTGGAATATAAGTCAAGTCGAAATCGATTGCAGTCGTGCCTCGATCTATACGTTCCTCTTCGTGCCTAACCCAGGAACTCGTGCCATCGTGAATGAAACAGGATGGCGTTGAAACTGGCATCAATCTCTTAACAGGGAGGGAATGGAGACAGTTCAGACCAAGCAGAAAAGCCGTATTTCCAAGTAGCACTATATTGGATCCCTCTTTGCTGTCACTGCACATCCTATGTCTATCGAATCCGAAAAAATTTCAAATTATTGTGAAAGGAAAAACAAGAGTTGTCTCGACCTCGACTGGCTCCATATATTATCCTCTGAACTATCGGAACTGTGGAAAAGTATCCAGAACTTTTAGTTGGTTAAGTTTGAGGGGTTCGTGCCGCGCCGCTTAAGCTTGTTCTGTCGCTATTTTTTAAATGAAAAGAAATAGGCTGAAAAGACCTATAAAATTTTGCATATCTGCCATGTATAGCTTTCAGGTAAAAGTTTTCCCGCTCGATTGTAAAATGCGGCTCGACGACCGCATCCGTCATTAGCTAACTTCTCCAGTTCGATAAGGAGCGCAACGCGAACGACGCTGTCCGCCGCATAAAGAAACTGTACCCCGATGCTTGTTTGGCATGCATACGAGTGGTTTGAGAATTTTTCACTTGGAGATCGAATTGTTCAAGCTGAAGCCCGTTCTGGACGCCCATCCGTCATCGATGACGACGCGCTGAAGTCTATGATCGAGGATGATCCGCACCAAACCGCGTGTGAATTGGCAAGCAAACTCGCGTCATCGCGTCAGATGAGAAGTGGGTTCTGTGGGACAACCGACGAAGATCGTACTCTTGGCTGGAGCCTGATGAACCCCCGAGCAAAACGCCGAAACTCGACCGACACCAAAAGTCCAGTCGTGCATCTGGTGGACCCGATTCGGCATGGCCTACGAGCTCCTCGCGACCGGCCGGTCCATCGCCGCGGACGTCCACTGCACACAATTACGTCGCGTCCATGAGGCCCTGCTTGAATCTCGGGCCGCGGGTCCTCTTCTAAAGGTCCTCTTTTTGCACGACAACGCAAGGCCACACGTCACCAAAAAGACCCAGCAAAAATTGAAGGACCTCGACCAGCAAGTTCTGCCGCATCCACCGTATTCACCTGACGTTGCACCAACGGATCACTACCCATTCGGGTCGCTGGACGACTTCGTGTGCAAGAAGCAGTTTTCGAAGATCCACTCAAAAACGCACTCGATGGTTTCCTTGGCTCACGGGATGCGGTGTTTTGGGAGAGAGGAATCGATTCTCTCAAGGAAAGATGGGAAAAAGTTCGAGGTTGTAAGGGAGATTATTTTCATTGGTAAAGTTTAATTTAATTTAAAGTTACAGCGTATCAAAGATTTGGGCCGAAAAGTTCTGGGTACTTTTCCCCAGACCTAATAGTCATGAGGAGGGAAAAAAAGGAAAACCCCCTTTCGCCCATTTAATAAAGCCAGAGCGACGTAAGCCAGGAAGCTTACCCGACAGAGGTGAATCGTTATGCAAAAATAAATTCGTGCACTACAGGGAAACATTGGACTTCGTCGTCTGCGTGTGCGTTAGCGACCAAATTCCTGCATATTGAGCATTGGAATATTATGCACGGATTCCTT